TATATAAAAATAAAGTGAAAACTTACTAAAAAAAGACTAAAACTTTTGCACACGTTTAATATAATTTTTGTAATAAATAATATTTCAAACGTTTCGATCAATTACATAATAAAAAAAATTGTAATAAAAATGGTCTATTGAAGATTTTCTGTTATTTCAATATATGTTAAAAAGTAATGTGTTAAAAAAGTGAATATATGAATATGTTAACATATATTTATATAATTTTTAACATTCCCTGTGTTAAAGTAACACAAAAATGTTAACATATAACAATATGTTAACATATATTTATAAGTAACATAAAAATTTAACATATAACAATATGTTAACATATATTTATATAATTTTTAATATTCCCTGTGTTAAAGTAACACAAAAATTTTAGTTTTTAACACGTTTTTTTACTATATAAGCAACTTTCTCTTCAATAGTCCAGAGACAGGAATGTAAAATTTAATAGACAGCGTAGCTTAAAATAACGTAGTTAAAACAACAAACAAGCAGTTAAAAATTTATCGGAAACGGTAATTCGAAAAATGACTTCGACCATGTTTTTCTTCTCGATCTGTTGTATCCATCTTATATGGTTTCGGACGTGTTACGTGGGACACCCTGTATATTATACTATATATGGCTATATAGAGGCAAATATTGTAATTTTTTTCAAGTTAAATCCAAGTTTGACCATGGCATAAAGAATTTTTGTTTTAAACAGCGCGACCGGACACCGAGAGCCAACGAAGTCAGAGACACTCTTTGGAGACACTTTTTTCTTATAGCATCTATCGGTGAAAGAAATTCTTCTTCAATTTGCATATATACACTTATATATATACACACATGCACGCACGTACACACACACACACACACACACACACACACACACACACANCAGTAACTACTAACTAACTGTAATATTATATTAATGTCATAATTTTGCTCTTAATAGTATAAATGCAATATACATGCTTCATATATAAAAGACACATAATATTGAGTGTAAAATTATAACATTACTATAATGTTATTATTCGTTGGTGTTTACTAGAGTAACTTCGATTTAATGATAATGGATTTTTCTATCCAATTTATATATTCCATTTGCAAACAAGTGTTTTGCTTTTACTTGTCAAACACACTGAATGCTTCTAACGTATTTCATAAAATAATATGTATTACTGCGATGAAATAAAGTAATTAAATATTAAATATATTTAATTAAATATATTTTTTTATTGAAAGCATAAGTTAATATTACATTAAAAGAAAAACCTTAATATTGCCTATCCTGATTATATTATCAATCTGTATATAAATATATTTACATTTTTCTTAAATCATATTACCCAGTTAAAATTATTATCTTATACAGAAGAATTAAATAATAATAGAAGAGCAAATTAATGATCAAAGTTTGATAATAGCATTAAAAACATAGTAGACGACGATGAAATATGCAAATTTTGGAATATAGTTAAATAATGATTACGATAAGACACACCGTCGTTCTCAAAATCTCTATAGGGCCTAGTGGAACTAAATTTATTTTCGTTGTGATACATAATATTTAAAGGTGAACCCAGAACTTGGGCTAGCTTACTTATGTTTTGTTCAGCTTTAAGTTTAGATTTGGCGGTTAAAAGCAACGGACAATTTTGATCCCGTAATTTTAAAATCATTTCCGACGGTGGTTCCCTATCACAAAAATCTACTTGAAACCCTATAATTATAGTTGGTTTTATATACATATCACTGTTAACATAATCATAATACAACATACGATGACATTCGAAATTAAACTTCTTCTGCAAATGCATGCATCTAGAACAAATTTCTATACCGTTATGATCATCTTGTAATTCCAATCCTATCAGTATAATTCTTAATTCCGTTTTAGAATATAAAAGATGGAGGAAAAGTTCCCAAGAGGGCACATATTCCTTATCAACAGTGTTTGCAGCTATTATATGAACAATATAGCAATTATTGCATTTATCTTGTAGATTTAAAAAATGTACATTTGGTATCGTATAATACAATGTCAACGGTCCTGATACATAATCAGCATAATAATACGATGTAATAGAGTCCAAAAATGTCAACGTATATAGTTCAAGGAATGACGACATATCAGTAACAAAAGGTTTAGAGTGATCAGGAAAGTTGATGAACTTATAACCTAATAATGGTGGACCAAATCGTAGTGTGTTATCAATAAAAAGACATAATTTCAACTCCTCGCAATCAGAAGTGCCATCTCTTTCCACAGCTGTATGATCAAAACAATAGTTGACGGAATAGCATTTTTTACAAGTGTAAAGATTCTGTTGCTCATGACATATACGACACGCTTTTGTGAACATGATCATCTGCTCTTCATATGGCTCTAGATCACGTGACAATTCTGCTTTGATTAAACTCACAAATTCTTTCCTTGATTTGACCCATTCCTCCAGGTTGAAATGTCTACGGAGCCAGACGTATTTATCGCTAAGCTTCTTTATAACAGCGCACAACTGCGTATGATACGGTTGATATAACAATTTATGCTCCTCGCTGCAGTAACTTATCATGCAGCACTGTTCACAAATTTCGTAATTATCAATATTTGGAAACTTGCAAACATGACAAACATTCGGATTAAAGAACTTATTATATTGGACAGGCCTATAAAGGTATACCTGCGAATATAATGTATACATTCCGAAACTGTGGTGTAATGGATAATTGCTGATACGTTATTTGGATATCACTTTAGGAGAAATGTGTGGTAATTTTACATTCAGCGGATGTAATATTTTCCCACCACTCAGTTTATATGTCAACTTGACGACTATTCGAAGGACACTAAGACGATATTTATATATTCAATATTTATTTATGTTCCTCTAATAATCCTAATAATCTAATATATTCTACTTACACACGAGTCTTTCGCTTTTACTTGTCAGATATCCTAATTATACCGAATATCTAGCTATAAGAATATTTCATCGTTTTTGATCCACCTATATTGTTAATTTGAATAGAAAAAACGTACATTTGGTTATGATGCTGTTTTTAAATAGGAAAGGAGCACTTTACCGTAATAAGTAGCGTTTATAGCTACTATATAGTTGCATACGAATATATCCGAATGATATTAATATTCTATAGAGTATTTTTGAGTAGTAAACACGCGTACAGTGCTGTGTAAATTTGAAGTGTGCATTGCAGTGCGTGTTGCAGTAACTGATTGTGCAGCACTGCTGGCAAATTTCGTAATTCTTGAAATTTCTTTCGTAATTCTTTATATTTGCAAACATGACAAATAATAGGATTGAAAAACTTATTATAAACGACTGGATTTATACAATGTGCAATCTGATGCTGTGCGCACATTTCGAAATTTTTATATAATAAATATTTCCCGATATGTTATTTGTAATATCAATTTAATATTGTGTGGTAATTTGGTATTTTTCGCGGATATAATACGTTTCGTAAAAGATTGGCGGAAGTTATTTAGTTTTTAATAACGTTTTCGATTTATTGACTCGATCTGACTTGGTAAGCCTTCTAAATGTGCTCCGAAATACACCGACAGTACACATTTATGATTAATGTTACATTAGTCATTCGATCCATTAACACATTTTAGAACGCATTCACAGCAGTATCAAGTTGAATCAGCAAGAAAACGGTCTTAACTTGCAATAATGGAAATCGATAAAATTAATTCACGAAATACATAAATTATGTACCGAGGAAAATAATTGTTGGAATACAACAATTATTTTCCTCATTACATACCGACGCCGCTAAAAAGGTGCACGCACTTCTGTCTTTTGTCTCTAACGGCTCACGTGCGTTGTGCTAGTCACGTAAAAAAGACGTTCTGTATTTCGTTACTAATAAACACTGTGTTTAGTCGAAGGTCAGCATAGTTTGACATTATTCAGTTTACTTTTGTATCCACTTATTAAGTTGTTGCGATACTCCCGAAGTCTGCGGTGCATACAGACGACCAAATTAATATTTTAATAATAATCAAACGATTTTATTATTCTCGAGTACCCTTCCTGGTATTTTTGATATGATAAGTGAATGATAAATTGTAGTTTACGTGGTCTACTGTTCGAAAGCTATTCGTACCCGGGTTAAATTTACCTTGTCCCATCACCACTCACGGGATGAAGTTTCCGAAAACCCTTATTGACAGCCTTATTGTACATTTAGGATGAGGCTTGATCCATAATAGATGCGATAAGTCTATATTTTTTTGCTGTAAGCAATAAAATATAGCATGATTTCTAGCGAAAGGCGTTTCCTCGTCATTAGACGCCGCAATTGCTATGATTGACACGTCATTGTCACGTCTTTTGGCAGCACAGGAACACCTTTTGCCGGAAATTACGCTATATTTTATTGCTTAGAGCAAAAGACTAAAGGCTCGCTATACTCATCGTAGATTCGAATTAAATTTAGCCGCTCGATCGTTACTATTGCTACACGACATTAGCTGTCTTGCATTACCGACTGATTATCTTTAACATGACTTTTGTCAATATTCCAGTGACGCAATGGCTGTGGACGTGGAGATGCGCGGCTTTGTTCTGCATTTTAGCTTTAATACTGGTGACCGCCGTGGTGGTGTCCTCTCTGTATCTCACTCGTCGTGCGAGCGCACCGGTTTTCCCGGAAATTCCGGACTCGTCGGTCAAGGGTAATTATTTCATCTCGAAAATTTTCCTTCGAGAGGGTGGAAGGAAACGTGATGCGATAGATAGGCATGCGCACAGACGAGAGGTGGATGTTATTACGACAGCAACAGCGCTCCAAACTAACAGCCATGATGCGTACAAATATTCAAAAATAATTCGTCCAATTGGAAATGTTCAATATTACTATGTCTAAAAAATGGCACTGCATTAATGGACCCTTCTGCACAGGATTTTAGATTTACATAGAGAGTAGTGTGCCAGGTTGCCGCTGCATTATGCAGTCATAGCATTCCGAGCCACGCTCGAATGCTTGCCTCTCTGGTAGCCCACAGCGGCAATTCGGCACATTGCTTTGTACGTGCAACACCCTGTACATTAATTTCTACAAACTTCTCAGTGTTTTCATGAAAAACAAAAAAAAAACATTAAAACGAATAAAGTCATCCAATTTCAAAATATAACAAAAGTATGAATTTTACTTAACATCCAAAAGAAGTAGCTTCGGGCTAGTCCAGCAAATCTCGCTTACTAGGGATTATTAATCACGCTGGCTTCTCCCTCGTGAGTTTCTCCAATCGATTTCTACCACTACGATACGGTTTCAGACATGATTTTTCTTCGTACGTAACATGATCTTTCCCGTGATCACCAGGTGTCACAGTAGACGGCGTGCGTTTTGTCCAGAGGAACGAATGGGGCGCTCAACCGCCCTCGGAGCAGTTAGGGAAGTTGAAGCATCCGGTGCCCTACGTGATCATCAGTCATACTGCCACGGAATTCTGCACGACACAGTCGGAATGCACGATGCACGTAAGATTCGCGCAGACCTTTCACATTGAGTCGAGGAAGTGGTCGGACATTGGCTACAACTTTCTGGTCGGCGGCGACGGTCTCGCGTACGTCGGCCGAAGCTGGGACTACGTTGGTGCTCATGCCTTCGGCTTCAACAGTCGCAGCATCGGCATTTCTTTCATCGGCACCTTCAACTCGATTATACCGCCGAAAGTGCAGCTGCACGCTGCGCAGAAGATCATCGAGAAAGGCATTGAACTCGGGAAGATCGCGCCCGATTACAAGCTCTTGGGCCACCGGCAAGTCTCAAAGACCCTGAGCCCCGGAGACGCTCTGTACAACATCCTGAAGACGTGGCCGCATTGGGCACCCGAACCTTGACGTGATAGAGCGCGCGAGCTCCCTGCTCCGTGATAGGTCCAAATCGCGAAGCGATTTCCGAACGTGTTTCTCCTCGGATTTTCTTCGGATTTATTTCAGAATGATATGTGATTTGCTATAATGGTTTGTTTGGTAGAAACACGACTCCGGATGGTGAGTTCCGGATGGTTCCGATAATAGCTGACCGTGGAAATAGTTTCCCAGTAAGCTTTCCGGACATCATAAAGTAACAAAAACAGTAGATCAATATTATAATTTCCCATTCAACAATGTGAATGCAACTTTTAACGCATGTTGTATATAACACAGTTATATTGTTTAGCAGGAAATCAATTGATTTAATGTTACTTTTATTCGGTATTCCAGACAGCATAAGATGTTCCCAAATCATCCAGACACTCATGTGTCCTAGGGTACGTTGAGGAGTGTCCTAGAAAATTTTTTTGAGATCATCCTCGATGTGTTTGATGTTACAATATCCTACTTAATAATGTAACTGTTATGTGTAATATGTCCATTTACCTTATTAAGTGGGAAATTATAATGCTGATGTGATAATTACTGTTGCTTGATGTTTACTGAGCAGAGTTTACGATTATTGCCGTAAGAAAATGTCACGTTTTTCTTTTTTACAAACATATCAGAGGCATTGAAGTTTATTAATCGGCAGTAGTTATTGAGGGATCATAAAAGACGACGCATTGAATTCCGGCATAACAAACGCGGCGGATGCGAATTATGTCTTCTTGGTGAAAGCTCCATCATGATAAATTCCACGTAGATGACCGAATAAATAGGTTTAAAAGGGTCGGGAGCACGGAAAGATGGAGCAATCTCTACTTTGGAATCATTGTAAGATGACACAGTTACGACTATTTGATTCAATTTACTGTGAGGAAAAATAAAATGGTGCCAATGTGACAATTACTATATTTTATAGTATGCGCGAACCACCGGTCTTGTAAGAAGTACATATGTACAATCTTTGAAAATTGTATGAACGTAATCTTGGGACACTTTGTATATACTTTATGAAAAAAATGAAACGAATGTAATGTTGATTTACCGAACATAAATTTTTTTAATAAAGAATGTGCAATACATATGCATGTATACGCGTATATTTAATTATTGTTCACTTTATTCGCACGATATTCATACTTCGATTAGTTATTTTTGGAACCTACTTCACTCTTTACAGATAAGTATTAACTAGTCAGTAATAAATTTCTGTGTCTTAGTAATTTTATCACTGTTAATCTAATGATTTTGAGTACTTCCCAACGATTATGTTTTAAGTGAATACATAAAGTGAATACATAAAGGTACAAAACTTTGTTACCGTCGTCAAACAACAGGCGTCATATGTGTTTTAATATTATAATTAAAAATTCCAAGCGTAAAGATGTAAAACGTTATTAATTTCTATCAATTTTCTTATCAATGAAATTTTTTTCATTTATGTTTACATAAAAACTTTGCTGTAATTATTAGTAAGGAAAATTTTAATATATTATTTAGCCAATGATATCAAACGTATCAGTTGACTACGTGTTCATTGGTTTACAAACGTGAAACATAAAATTTAATAAGCGTATTTTAGAACAGCGTAAGATTGGCAATTATAGGGAGCTTCAGCGAATAAATTATGTTGAGGCATATATGACGTATATACGTGTATTTAAACGCGCGATATCTTGAAGCGAGGAAATCCCACCAAATTGGTGAGATCTCGTATGGTGTAGTTTCGACTTTACTGAAAATATAACGTTGGGAATGACGCGATGAAATCATTTTCAGGGAGTACTTATATCAATACTAATAATGTACTATAGTAAGGTGATAATAACCACAGTAATAATTAATGATCTAATACATTGATAATAAATTGGTGCGAAGTCTTTCTCAGGAATTTATTACTCATGTGAAGTACATCTGATAATTAAAACCTGTACTAGCAATTTAGCGCAGTACTTTAATACTGTTTCGTCATCAGTATCTAGTAAAATAAATTAATTTTGGAGTTTGTTACTCTATTTATGAAGAGCAGAAGAAATAACTTTGTAAGAAGAAGAAGACACACAATATTTGTTAATTCTTCTCTTCTAAAGATTTTCACTTGTTTTTATCACACTTGGTAGCAATGATTAATACCGGAATTTGTGACTATACTATTTTTTCTACATTATATATTATATATTTGCAAAATCCCCTGTGCTTGTGGCAAGGTGTACATAGATGAAACCGGCAGGAATGTTGGCACAAGTATGAAGGAACATCAAGCTGCAGTTAAGCTAAAACATATAAAGTCAACCTTATCAAAGCATCATATAGAAACAGAGCGTAAAGTTTAATTTTCCCAAACGTCAGTTTTAGTCTATTTTCTCAGAAACTACAGAGAATCTTTACAAATTTAAAAATATCTCTGCACCTCAACAGAGAAAACGAGGATAAAAATCAATCCGAGTTGGCGATCTGACAGTCTAGTACTATGAATCCTTCGCTAGAGGGCGCCTTTCTCAGCGCTCATTTAACCAAGCCCCCCTCTAATGCAAGATTATATAAGGAGAAGTCCTGCGCAGGAGCAGCAGTTTCAATGCACACCTCATCGCGAAGAAGTGAACGAAGATGTTCGCGAAATATTGGAAAAAAAACCATGAAAAACGCGGCTGCAAGTCGGAAACCAAGAAAACAAGTACGTATCTATATCGCGAAAGTTGACAGGATCACAATAATGTACTAAGTTTTTAATTAATAATAGCCTCAAATCTCAACAATATACCGTATTGTACAAAAAAAATTCGAAGATGTGAAGCCGAATTTATCAACTGCTTTACCGGAAAGTGTCGCGCGATTGCCGCGAACACAAAAAGCGACGCGTATGCAAAGATAAATGTCAGATTTTCCAATTAATAAGTCTTGCAATAAAAAGCGAGTGTAAATTTTATAAGATAAAAATAGTGCTTTTACTATATTTGTTCTAAATTGGGAAGCATTACCGAGAGGTAACGATAATAAGAAATAAGGATCCAAGTACACATTCGTACTCGAATTATCGTTCTAATCATTTCTTTCATCTCTCTTTTCATCTAGATTTTCATCTAGATTTAAAGTCATACATATATGATCTATTTTGCGACGTTATCCAGTGATATGTTGCTAAGGGAATATCCCGCTCCCACCATTTGACCAACGTCAGCACTAATACTTGTATAATATCTACGTCTGCAGCAAGCAAAATTCATGTTGCTCGGAAAATGAAGTGAACCGAGTCGGCCGAGCGATATGAAAAGCGCAGAAGAGTGAACTCCCTCACATGGTTCAGTACAGAGTATCAGTTACGTAATTTTTAGTGTTTTCTCTAGAGGGAAACGTGAAAAGTGAAATGGTTTCAAATTAGAAGAGAAGATTCACGATGAATACTTAGACGGTCATAAATATTCTCTTCTAGTATGAACTCGTAAAAAGTATAAATTTTCTAATTTGAAAATATTTCACTTTTCACGTTTCCGTCCTGGGAGAAAAGTTACATAATCGATATCTAGCATCGAAACAGATAATGCAATATATTCATCTATTTCAAGTGCTCACACTCGCGAACGGTATCGCGCATAAAGAGTGATAGCGGCGGATCTCTGTGGGAGGGTGGATCACATTAAATTTGGATCATATTAAATGTGATCCAAAGTGCGATTGTTATCTTGAGCTCGCTACTTGTGTCGGCTGTACTGAACTCTGTGAAGAAGTTCACTCTTTCGCGTCTTTCATACCGATTCGGTCGATTCGGTCACTTCACTTTCCGAAGCCATGTAAATTTCAAAAAGCTTCGTTTGACTACACAGATGTGTCGTGCATGTGTTAGCGACGGCGTTGGTGGGAATGGGACATCCCCTGCGTACGCATTACTGACGCAATGATGCGTGTCGAGAGGATTTCCTGCTCCTATCTATATATGAGCCGTTTATTTTGAAAGTGGCCTAAGTCCATTTATACTTAAATTGAGATATTTAAGGGTTTGTGTTACAATGCAATTAAAAATATACATACAGGATACTAATGAGTCATACTGCTTAAGTATATCTAAAGGAGTTAAATTTATAGTTCCTATTAAAATAATGACAATTATTAAGTGAATAATATGCGTTTTCTTACCAAGAATGAAGTTAGGCCACTTTCAAAATAAACGGCTCAATTATTGAACAAACTTTGAAAACTTATGTGTCTAAAATTATCATATTTACTCGGAATATAAGTAACCTCAAATGCTTTATTGATAGATAACTTGAAGTTGTACATGTAACCACGGGCAACCGGAAATAATTGAAAAATGGACTTAGGCCACTTTCAAAATAAACAGCTCATATACATATATGTAGATGATTTCAGATTCATCTAGGTGAAGATGAGATGAAAATACGAAAAATTTATTTTAGATGAGATAAAGATGATTTTGTTTTTGATTTATCTAATTAAATTATTAAAAGATAAAATAAGTAATGCTACTTATCTAGATAATTTCTTAGATGATATTGTTTTCATGAGAGACTTTATAAGAGTTTATAATAAAAATTATGCAGATCATAAAATTGCACAACGGTTAAGTAATTCGCCAACGTAGTCGCTCTAAATTTAAAGATTTAACAAAAAGGCCAATAATCAATGACTATTCATTCACAATCGATAGTTTGATAGGAGTTTAAAGTAGATTGAAACAAACGGTCTGTTCCTTTTAATTGTACTGCTGAATTGGTGCAATAAGTTAGAACGAGACAAGTATATTTTGTCTCGCTCTAATTCACTGTTAGTACTAAAAATCTACAATATATATAACATGAATTATAGATTTTCTGTATCGGCAGTGAATATTGGAGCACAAACTTATAAGAAATATAAACAGTTGAGAGGGAAAGACTTAAGAGCGTTCTACAATGTTCCATAAGTAAGGAAATTATTAACAAGCCGTAGTGCAGTCACGAAAAAAATTATCTTCTATTTAAGATATTAAATGACATCACTTTGATTTTCTATAAACGATTATTTTCTAATATTATTTCGATGTCATGTTGACTTTTTTACGATCTTATGCTTGGATTATTGCTTAGAGACTACTTCTATCGAATATCCGAATTATATTTAGCTGCTTACCTGTGATACTACTGCTGCAACGACGTCAGCTCTCCGGCATCACGTGTCCCGATTGATTGTCCCTAATATGGCTCTCGTTATTATTCCAGAGACGCAATGGCTGTGGACGTGGACATGCGCGGTTTTGTCCTGCATTTTAGCTTTAATACTGGTGACCGCCGTGGTAGAGTCCACTCTGTATCTCACTCGTTACGCGGACGCATTGGTTATCCCGGAAATTCCGAACTCGTCGATCAAACGTAATTATTCCAACTCGAAAATTCTCCTTCCAGAAGACGGAAAAAAACGTGATGCGACACATATAGACACATATAGACATGCGCGCACAGACGAGAGGTGGATGTTATTGCGACAGCAACAATTCTCCAAACTAACAGCCATGATGCGTACAAATATTCAAAAATAATTCGTCCAATTGGAAATGTTCAATATTACTATGTCTAAAAGATGGCACTGCAGTAATAGATCCTTCTGCATAGGATTTTAGATCTACAGAGAGCAGTGTGCCAGGTTGCGCTGCATTATGCAGTCATGGCATTCCGAGCCACGTTCGAATGCTTGCCTCTCTGGTAGCCCACAGCGGCAATTCGACACATTGCTTTGTATGTGCAACACCCTGTACATTAATTTTTACAAACTTCTCAAGTACTTTCATGAAAAAAAAAAACATTAAAACGAATAAAGTCATCAAATTTCAAAATGTAACAAAAGTATGAATTTTACTTAACATCCAAAAGAAATAGCTTGGGGCTAATCCAGCAAATCTCGCTTACTAGAGATTATTAATCACGTTGGCTTCTCCCTCGTGAGTTTCTCCAATCGATTCCTACCACCACGATACGGTCTCAGGCATGATTTTTCTTCTTACGTAACATGATCTTTCCCATGATTACCAGGTGTCACAGTACCTACGACCGACGTGCGTTTTGTCCAGAGGGACGAATGGGGCGCTCAATCGCCCTCGGAGCCGTTGGTAAGGTTGAAACTGCCGGTGCCCTACGTGATCATCAGTCATACTGCCACGGAATTCTGCACGACACAGTCGGAATGCACGATGCACGTAAGATTCGCGCAGACCTTTCACATTGAGTCGAGGAAGTGGTCGGACATTAGCTACAACTTTCTGGTCGGCGGCGACGGTCTCGCGTACGTCGGCCGAAGCTGGGACTACGTTGGTGCTCATGCCTTCGGCTTCAACAGTCGCAGCATCGGCATTTCTTTCATCGGCACCTTCAACTCGATTATACCGCCGGAAGTGCAGCTGCAAGCTGCGCGGAAGATCATCGAGAAAGGCATTGAACTCGGGAAGATCGCGCCCGATTACAAGCTCTTGGGCCACCGGCAAATCGCAAAGACCCTGAGCCCCGGAGACGCTCTGTACAACATCCTGAAGACGTGGCCGCATTGGGCACCCGAACCTTGACTTGATAGAGCGCGCGAACTCCCTGCTCCGTGATAGGTCCAAATCGCGAAGCGATTCTCTTCAGATTATTTTCGGATTTATTTCAAAATGATATGTGATTTAATATGATGGTTTGTTCGGTGGAAACACGACGCCGGCTGGTGAATTCCAATAATAATTGATCGTGGAAATAATTTTCCATTAAGCATCCCGGAAATTATCAAGTAACAGCAACAGTATATCAATATTATAATTTCCCATTCAACAATATGAGTGCCACGATTGACGCATGTTGTATAGAATATATTTACATTGTTGAGCAGGAAGTCAGAACGCTGATTTAATGTTACCGTTATTCGATATTTCAGACAGTATAAGATATTCCTAAATCATTCAGAATATGTCCAGGGTTTCTTGAGGAATATCTTAGAAATCATTCCTGAGGTCATTCTGGACGTGTTTGATGTTACAATATTCGGCGTAATAATGCAGCTGTTATGTGTAATATGTGTATTTATGTTATTGAGTAGGAAATTATAATGTTGTTGTGATGTTACTAGTGCTTGATGTTTATTGAGCTGAGTTTACGATTAACGTCGTGAGAAAATGTCACGTTTTTTTTTTCTTCGAACATATGGGAGGCGTTGAAATTGATTAATCAGCAGGAGTTATTGCAGAATCACGAAAGACGACGCGTTGAATTTCGGAATAACAAACGTGGCGGATGCGAATTGTGTCTTCTTGGTGAAAACTCCAGCGCGATAAATTTCACGTAGATGACTGAATAAATTGATATAAAAAAGTCGAAAGCACGGAAGGACAGAGCAATCTTCACTTTGGAGTCATTGTAAGATGACACAGTTACAACAATCTGATTGAATTTACTATATGTTGAGAAATGAAAGGATGCCAATGTGACAATTATTACATTTTATAGTATGCGCGAACCATCGGTCTTGTAAAAAGTACATATGTACAATCTCTGGAAATTATATGAACGTAATCTTGGCACACCTTGTATATACTATATGAAAAAAATAACGAATATAATGTAGATCTGTCGAACGTAAATTCTTCTAATTAATTTTTACCAAAGAATGTGATGTATAATTTTTAATAAAGAAACGTAATTTCATATGGAATGTCCAGTGCATATGCGTGTATATATGTGTGTGTATTTAATTGTTGTTCAGTACACTAGAAAAATTGTACCTTTCTTTTATTCGAACAATCAGTAAACAGCCGCAAAATTAATTTGACACGGAACCATTCATTTCAACCTCTTTTCTCGTGATTTTGTCAATGTTAATTTTACGACTATTTATTGCTTCCTCGAATAAAAGGAAAGTGCAAGGATAATTTTATAAATGTACTGAATAGAGGTCATGTGTTGAGTAGATGGGGTTAGGTTTCCCATGATGAGGCTCTCGAAGGATGAGTAAAAAGCGCGAATTATTTAAATAAAAATGAAATAAAGAGTCATTTGCCTCCAAACAGGTTGGATATTAATATTACTGACCGACACGGCTGCAGATTTAAGGAAGCTCCGATTTCCACGATCGGTTGTGTGCACTGTTACACTGCTCGTTACACTACAAACACAATTGACGGTGAAATTAATTTCTAAAGGATAATTATACTGCTGGTTGGAGCGCAAGAACACGCTGTTACATTTCTACAATTACGTGGTAGTTAACAAGCGATACAATTAGGGTTACAAACTAATAATATTGTTCTGAACATACAGCTGATTCTCTTGGCAACGAGTCGTAAACAACAGATGATCAGCGTTGACGGATAAACAACGGCTTTGAGAGATTCTCTCTAGGGCGGTTGAGTCGTCGTGACGTGTGCGACGGTCTTTAACGAAAGAGAGAGCTTGAGTCTGCGAGTTACGTGTGCTTCCTTGTAAATAGCAAATATAGTTGAAGTTGTTTTCTTTTTAACATTGTCTCGTTTTATTTCCCCGCGCGAGCGTAACAATATAATTGATTTCAGAAGCAGAAATTGGGCCGGCGCGGGAGCAGCACCGAGAAAGGAGAGTGAAGGGGGAAAAACAGGGGGAGGGGCGTCCGAGGTGCTTTGGGACATAACAATAACTTCTCAGTGTCCCTCGAACAGTCAAGTAGATGCATAAACTGAGTGGTGGGAAATATATTATATCCGCTGGATGTAAAATTACCAGGCATTATTCCTGATATTACAAATAACGTATCAGCAATCATCCATTACACCACAGTTTCGGAATGTATACATTACATCGGCAGGCATACCTTAATCGGCCTGTCCAATATAATAAGTTCTTTAATCCGAATGTCATGTTTACAAATTTCAAAATATTGATAATTACGAAATTTGCGAGCAGTGCTGCATGATCAGTTACTGCAACGAGGGGCATAAACTGGTGAATCGACCGTATCATTCGCAGATGTGCGCTGTTATAAAGAAGCTTACCAAGCAACACGTCTGGTTCGGTGGGCATTTCAACAGAGTAGATGAGAAAGGCCGGTTCTGGCGCAGTTGGCGCTGTTTTACCGGTCTTTGCAGGGTCCTACTCGGTCGGTAAAACAGCGCCAACTGCGCTAGAACCGGCCTTTCTCCTCTACTCAACAGGACATAAATAAGCTAGATCAAGTTCTAAGTTCACCTTTATATATTGCATATCATGTCGAAAATAAATTTATTCCACCAGGCCCTATCGAGATTTTGAGTACGACGGTGTATTTTATCGTAATCATTATTTAACTGTCTTCAAAAATTTGAATATTTCATCGTCGTTTAATACATAATTATGTTTAAAATTAGATATAATTAATTTACTTTTCTATTATTATTTAATTTTTCTGTATAAGATAATAATTTTGACTAGGTAATATGATTTAAGAAAAATATAAATATTTTAATTAGACTTATGTTTTTTCATTGCAATAGTACATACTATTTTATAAAATACTGGAAGTATTCTGGAAGTATTCAGTTTAACAAGTAAAGGTAAACCGCTTGTTTACAGATGAAATTTAAACTGGACACAAGCACTGATTCTAACAAACAGATTATACTTTTATAAAAATTATTATAAAAATATGAAATATTAATGAGGGAGTGTTAATTAAAAATAAATATGCTATGATTTGATGTGATTGTATCAAGATATATTTTGATTACATGTTTTTTATTAACAATTTATCCTAAAAACTGAGTAACATAGAAGGTGATTTTACTTTAAATTTAATTGCGGATCATAATTTTTTAATGATTTTAAACTCTAGATTTTATGAGCAAAAACATTTTCATAGAACATTGTTCATTAACTTGTAATCAAATTTGTCATGGAAGAATATTATAAGCAATTTATTATAAAATTAATGATAAATAGATAATATAATTATCTATAATTTTGAAAAGGATCAATTGATTATATAAACTTTTATATTTAACATTAATGAAAAAATAGTATCATACAATTGTATTGCGACACTAGTAAAATATTCATAATATTAACCAACGTTGATATTCTTCCCATTTTTATAAGAATCTAACTTGTCTTCTGTCATTTTAAGCTGGGACACTGTCGGTATCCTCTGGGACTTCCATTTATGTCCAATGTTTTTCAGTACAGTGCTTGACAGCTTGGCATTCCTGGGCCGTCCTGTTATTAAAAGTCATTATATTAATCAGTCAGCATTAGACTAATAACGTAATAAAAATTTAATCATAATCGCATGTGGCACACGAAAATTTCGTAGAAGGAAATTTACGTTTCAGTAATTCTATTCCATAATATGTAACCAGATATCTTTTACAAATTTATCAGTTATTAAAACGATGTTTTTGCTCTTACTTGCATTAAAAGTTCACACACATAATCACAATTTTTATTCGACTTCTTTTGTTATAACTTACAATATAAATAATTACTTAAACTTACTGTAGATTTTGGCACCAATAACTTGGACCCCATGTGCATTTATCCGCGCCGACAACAGGAGGTGAGCGAGGGTTACCTTCTGGCATAGCTGTCACAATCGTAGTTACTGAAAATGAATAAAGTACGTTTAAAGATATTCAGTTATATACGTATATGTCATAAAAATTTAGGCCTGTATTTTGAAATCTCTTTTATTTATAAAAGTGCCTTAAAAAAATAGCTTAGAAATTACGTGATTGGCTTAGAAGTCATATTTAAGACACTTTTATCGATAAAAAAAAATTCAAAATACGGGCCTCAGAGTCATGAAGCAAAGTATGTTTGTGACAATTCTTATTCAATTCAAATTTATAGCAGACTATACTTAGAATCTGCTTGTGCAGGTTTGGCTACCTGGGGCGTATATGATGTAGGTAAGTTATAATATATTTGTTAAAATTTTATAACAAGTATATTATGACTAAATAAAATATTATGATTAATATATTGTGACTAAATAAAATAGATTTTTATATGCTATATTATAAGGAACTATAAATTATGTGGAGAATATTTTTACTTAGACTAATTATTGAGGTTAATCTCTTGCAAACCAGCCCCCTGCAAAGACAAAAATTTGAATGAACCGTTTGGGACATTTAATACAAAATTTTTTATCGTATTCCTTCTCTCATGTTCTTATTTGTCCTAGGAATAAGAATTCCTTCGTAATAAATAATGGAAACATGATTCGATGACGCAAAAGAGAGGGAACATTATAGTATGATAAGGAAGAAGAATAGGAGGAAGAGAAGCAAGCGAACGAGCAAGTCAAACATTTATGTAAGAACTAAGCTTTTATTTCTCTTATTTACCGTACATAAAAATTGGCTAAAAATAGGAACGTGTTATTCCATGTGTGACGTGGGAAGTGCGTATATCTGAATGATTAAATGCACACAAGCCAATGACAAGTCTACATATATTTACACATCCACAGAGACATCTATATAATAACTAGACTGCTAATTCCTTTGTTTACGAGTAGAAAAGTTGACATCAGAAATTGTGCATTACGTCATGCGTGAAGTAAAATATATCTTCTTGTTTGTATATATGTGTAAGTCGATGTCGCACCTGTATCTGTTCCGTGATTAAATTTCGTCAGCATATTGCGAAGTTATTCTGCATAAAAAATATTACATGAACAATGAGTCAATTTAGCTTCGTTATCGAAATATGGAAATTGGTATATTGATATAAACCACAAATAATCAAAGGTATTCAAGCTACTTCACTTCCGTTTAATTATTCATTTAAAATTGTGCAAAATTGCATTTAACACTGACATATTGTGCTGATATTTACATGTATTATTCAAAATAAGCACCTTGTGCTTTTATACGTAAAGAGGCTTCTAAGACCGTATTCACATAATATCGACAAGATCATTACTAATACTAACAGCAGTTTCATTAATGCTTATTATCAACTATTCATATATATAGGCTTTCCGTTTAAATACATCCTCAATTTTATGCAATTCTATAAAAAAATTTAAAAAGGAAAATTTGAAGGTCAAGTGATTGTGAAGACTATATCTCGATAACGGATTTTAATTGACCCATTGTTTAAAAAAATTTTATATTCAGAATAACCTCCTATATATATACTGGTGGAGTTTATCGGTTGTCGAAGTT